GATAGAGGCCGAGCGGAGGGGTCGCCGTCCGCCGCGCCATCATTCTCCCGCTTGGTGGAGTCGCGTCAATCTCCACTCGGGGGCTCGTATTTAGCCGCGCGTCGAGGGCGGAGGCCGGCGTGGAGGCGAGGCGAGGCGAGCGGTGGGGGTGGTGTGGTGATGGAGGCTATGGTCGGTGTGGTGGAAGTAAAAGTGGTGGTTGTGGTGGAGGCTATGGTGGTGGTTGTGATGGAGGCTATGGTCGGTGTGGTGGAAGCAAAAGTGGTGGTTGTGGTGGAGGCTATGGTGGTGGTTGTGGTGGAAGCTATGGTGGTGGTTGTGGTGGTGGTTGTGGTGGTGGTTATGGTGGTGGTTGTGGTAGAGCTTATGGTGGTAGTTGTGGTGGAGGCTATGGTAGTGGTTGTGGTGGAGGCTATGGTGGTGGTTGTGGTAGAGCTATGGTGGTAGTTGTGGTGGAGGCTATGGTGGTTGTGGTGGAGGCTATGGTGGTGGTTGTGGTGGAGGCTATGGTGGTGGTTGTAGTGGAGGCTATGGTGGTGGTTGTGGTGGAGGTTATGGTGGTGGTTGTGGTAGAGCTTATGGTGGTAGTTGTGGTGGAGGCTATGGTGGTGGTTGTGGTGGAGGCTATGGTGGTGGTTGTGGTAGAGGCTATGGTGGTGGTTGTGGTGCTATGGTGGTTGTGGAGAGCTTATGGTGGTGGTTGTGGTGGAGGCTATGGTGGTGGTTGTGGTAGAGGCTTATGGTGGTAGTTGTGGTGGAGGCTATGGTGGTGGTTGTGGTGGAGGCTATGGTGGTGGTTGTGGTATATGGTGGTGGTTGTGGGAGAGCTTATGGTGGTGGTTGCGGTGGAGGCTATGGTGGTGGTTGTGGTGGAAGCTATGGTAGAGGATAAGGTGGTGGTTGTGGTGAAGAACCATGGTCAATGTGATGGAAGTTATGGTGGTGATTGTGGTGGAGCCTATGGTCGTTGTGGCAGAGGCTATGGTAGAGGTTGGGGCGGGGGTGCGGTGAATGCCACAGCCATTGTGGTGGAAGCTATGGTGGTCGTTGGGGTGGACGCAATGGTCCTGGCAGAAGAGAAATAATGTGGTAGAGGAGGTGAGACCGGCGGTGGCGCATGTGACAATGGTGATGGTACCCCGGCGGTGGTGGGGATTATGGCGATGTGGAGAAGGCGGTCAAATAAAGGGTCTTGATGGAGGTGATATTTGTGGCGATGGTGGTGAGAGAGTGGTGGCGTTGGTGGTTGTGGTAGACAGCGGAGACATGAGCAGGTAAAAATACTGGTGTCAATGATAGTGGCGGCGTCGTAAAAAAAAAAAAAAAAATCTGTAGTAGTGACGGCGTTGGAGCTGGAGCGGGAGAAAGAGGACATAAAAGCAGCTGTGGAGAAGATGCAAGGAAGAAAGTGGTGAATGTGGCAGAGACAAGCGATGGCGAGAGGCAATGGGCAGCTAAAGGGTGGAAGAGAGAAGGGGAACAAAAGAGGAGGATGCGGCAGGTGGAGGCGAAAAGACGACGAGAAAGTAGACTGACGAGACAAGACGTTAAAGAAAGGGAACAAAGAGGAAAGAGGAGACGAGGAGGAGGAGGAGTAGTATCGGAGGGAAGGAGGAGGAGTGTAAAATAAGAAGGGGAAGGAGGGATGGAGGTAGAGATGGTGGTGGAAGAGAAAGAGAAAGAGGAGGAGGAGGAGGAAGAGGAGACGAAGAAAAAAAGGAGGGGCTGGTGTATAATAATTAATAAAGCAAGAGGAGATGCAGGAGGAGTATAATAAGCAAGAATATAATAATAATACGGAGGAGGAGAGAGAAGTGGGAGGGGTTGTAGTGGTGGTGGTTGTGGTGGGGTGGGGTGGTGGTGGTGGAGTGGTGGTGGGGTGGTGGTGGTGGTGGTGGTGGTGGGGTGGTGGCGGTGGTGGGGTGGTGGTGGTGGGGTGGTGGTGGTGGTGGTGGTGGGTAGGGTGGGGTGGTGGAGTGGTGGTAGGGTGGTGGGGGCGGTGTAGTGGTGAGGTGGTGGTGGAGTGGTGGGGGGGTGGAGTGGTGGGGGTGGAGTGGTGGTGGGGTGGGGTGGAGGGGGGTGGAGTGGTGTGGTGGTTCTGTGGTGTGGTGTGGTGTGGTGTGGGTGGTGGAGTGGTGGTTGGGTGGTGGAGTGGTGGTGGGGTGGTGGAGTGGTGTGGTGGTGGAGTGGTGGTGGATGGTGGGTGGGGGTGGTGGAGTGGTGGAATGAGGTGGTGGTGGTGGGGTGGGGTGGGGTGAGGTGGTGGGTTGGTGGGTGGTGGTGGTGAAGACGATGACGATGATGGTAATGACGACGATGATGATGAAGATATAAGGAAGAAGATGAAGATGACGATGATGAAGAAGAAAAGAAGAAAACGATCAAAACAACACTAGCCATAAATATTGAAAGAAAGGCAAAACAGAAAATCAATAAAGTAAAGAAAGAAAAGAAAAGAAAAAAAAAAAAAAAACAAAGACAAACATACAAAAAACAAAGA